TAAAGTCACGTTTCTTAAACAAGCAATATTTAATCATCGAAAGAATCGAAAGAACAAACACTTCGTTGTGTCGTAAATGCTGCTGGCAGCGGCAGACGGCCCGGTCGCAGCAAGAAGATTTAACTACGTCAAATTCCTCAAATTAAAAGCGATCCTCTGCCCAAGATTAGACCGATAATCTCGACGGCGCGACTCGAAAGATTCTCCGGGAATCCTTGAAAACCCTACAACGTCCACAGAAAATTCCACTCGGCACTTTACCAGGAAACGTAACTATGTTTACCCTGTAGCTTTCACAATACCGTACACACTCGCTAATCAAGCCACATTAGAGCCCTCTCATGAGAGTCCGTCCGAGGTACTTGCACCAGGCGCATACCGGCCACTCAAGAATCAAGAACGTTCCCAAACACGCCGAAACCCTTTTCGAGTACCAGTTCCACGGTCGGAGAGGAGCGTGGAAACTCCAAAGCCAACGGCAATTAATCACGTTAAAGCTGCAGACTCGACGAATACGACGATCTCGCGGCTGCTCCAACAGCGAGTCCGTACAACGCGCAGAAGAAACACAGAGGCCAGTGCTCTCGCTGCGATACTCCCGACGATACTCTTCGCCCGCGTCACGAGGAATCCTGTTTTCCATCCATCCATCCATCCACGGATAGCTTCGTCGTCCTAATGCCGCGCTCGATGGAGATGCAGCAGCGTAGCGCGGTTCAGGTTTATCGAGAGTTCTCTCGGACGTTGTAACGGCACTCGAAACGTCGGCTGTTGCGCGTCTCCCTCGTTTCATCTCCTCCGGCAAGGCTCTTCGCCTTCTCTGCCTCTTCAGCTCGTACGCACGCACGCACGCATGCATGCCAGAGTAGTATGATTCGTACGCACGTCTCACCTACACACCGGTGAACGAGCCACGCCGGCGACCGGTTTCCATCGGGCTCCAAACAAACACACGTCGACCGACGACAACGGTAAACCGATCTTCGTCGCGTTTCGTGAACCCCCGCGACCGTGTTTTCAGAGCTCGCGCCCTCTTCGCCATCGCTTCGACGCTTTTCGAACGGGGGAGAAGACTCGCGAATTTACGAGGCGAGCCCTGGCGAGTTTTTAAATTATTCGCAAGTCGGCGAAATTCGGGGGAAGCCAAGCACACGGTCGTTTGTGCTCCGCCAACGATCCGCGTGCGCATCGAGCCAACTTCTTTGTTATCCTGCGCCGCAACGAGGGTGCGTCGGGATACACCGGTGGGTTTGCAAAGTGGGAAGAATGGCGGATCCTTTTTTTCTGAGGAGGGGGAGAATTCGTGGCTGGAATTCTTTTCTTTTTTTTTCGAGTAGCGGAAGATTCGTTTCTGTTTGGACGTTTTTCACGATCGGTCTGCAGAGTAAACCGGTCGCCGCGTGTTGTCACGGATTTCCACGCTGCGAGAGGGGTTAATTGAGAAGGATGCTCTGCAACATTCTTGCACGTATTCCTGTTTTGCAAACGTTCGAACAGTTATTGATAACCGTAAATTGCTGATTAGCCTTCTTCGCTAAGTGATCGGCGCTAAGTGGGGCTGTTTTTAAGCGCCTGTTTAATACAGGGAGAAACAAACACACGGCGGATAAGAAACGAGAGACACAATGCTAATTAGTCGGACGTAAATCAACCGTGCTAGGACGGAATATTTAATTAGATTTGGATCGGCGAAACACGTGCATGCCAGTATCCGTATCGTGAAAAATACGCGGAGCAAAACGATTTTTGTACGATACAAGTCCAGACAACGAACAAATAAACAAAGATGTATTTACGAAGTTATACATAACACTTATCCGAGGCTGCTTGCAAGCGACGAACGGTATATCGGATCGAGAAATGTTCACGACTCCGGCGTAGGCTGACAGATTACAAAAGCGTTTCGTTGAATTAAAGTTTAATGAGAGACAGCGTTTCCCCTGGTAACCGCAATCTGGTTGCAAGACTTGCCAATGAATAGTACGGAATGACGATTAAAAAATGCCGGAGCTGTGTTTAAAATTAGTTGTTTTGAACGGTACTTCGACCGAGTCGCTCGATTAAATAATTGTTTCCACAGGCTAGTCACGATCCATTTTTAAACTAAACTCTTTCAAAAACCGGTCGCAACGTCCGTTGGAAATATTCACGGAAACTAAAATTTGCTCCACCGACGTCGACGGTAACACGTCGAAAGTAAAGATCTTGTCGGACAGTGGCTTGCGAAAGTATCTGAAAGCTTTCATGTTTTATTTTATTGGCATTAAAATGAGATTCCACTATCAGTCTGAAACTGTGTGCATGGAAGTTACAAGATATTCATTGTCTTAAATACACAATATTTATACAATATAAAGATTTTATTTACTACTAAATGATACACTTATATGTGTACCATATCATTAATATAATCATGATAGTCGAGACTCGTTACACTGCTAATAAAATTTAAAAACGTTTCACAAAGTACGTATTTCTGGAATTATCGAATAACTTTCTCTTCTGTATCAAAGAAATATTAAAATGTGCGTTCGACTGAGTTAAATTATACGACCTGCGTATAATTTATATACGACTGTATATATGATTTATATACGAATGTATATATGATTTGCAAACTGGAAGCCTTATTGGTAGTAACCGCTGAGGATGTTTCTCGCATTTTATTTGCGGATTAGTCAGAGGGTGACTACGTGGGATGCCCTACAAAACATCTTCTGAATCATTCGCGGAGAGTGAGAAAGCCTCAGCTGTTACTAGTTTTAGACCGCTTGTCTCCTGAGGAACGTTCGCATTTGCGCGACAATTCAAATGGTGTTTACCACGCGACACTCATGGCTAACAAGTGGATACGCAAGACTCGGTCAAATAAGTAACTGTTGTCCGCTTTGGTTCACCGTGGCCGACAAACAGATGAATTTAAATGCCAAAGAGGACGTTGAGCTCCGATTCCAGTACGAGTCTCGATAACTTATCGACGCGCGTCTGCTACTGTTTCAATTTGTTAACGATTGAAATGATCGCGAGGCATTTCTGCTCGAACATGTGACAGGCATTAAATCAACAAATGGTTTCCGATTCGTAGAGAAATTTAACATCGAAAAGCTCGGTCGTCTAAATGTTCGTAAAATTGGTAAGTTTATCCAGAATGCGCATATGACGTGCGAAAAAAATTTTTTCTAACGACTCTGCTTGAATGACAAGCATATATTTAATTTATGTCGATTAACGTGTCCTCGCATGTTTGTATAATTAAATTCATTTGTGCTGGATGCTTAAATTTGAGCTGTCCTCCCTCTTCGACGTGTTAAAGGGAAATAATTTTGTACCAGCTGTGTGGACAAAATTAGAACACAACTATCTCTACGAATACGACATTTCATCGCCGGTTATAAATGACTCATGTCCAGAGACTACCGCCAGCTATTTTCAACTCCGAAAATTTTTCGTTGTCACCGTGCCACGATAGGTCAATGTGAATCGTAAACAAGCAGGCTCCAACGTGAGCCTGTCCGAATGTCGACAAATGATAGACGATCGAGGTAAACATTAGGATAATAACGTTGATACGGATCGCGCGTGTGCGACAATCGAAGCAGCTGCAACGACCGCTGCTGCGTGAAAAATAATCAGAGGTAGAAATGGTGAAATACAGGATGACACGGATAGAAAATGGACGCAAGCGACGCTAATAAATTACTGTCCGTTCGACGAAAACATCCTCGCCGCTTTCTTCCTCGAAATAACGAAATAAATTCGGCGAGCCGCCGAACAGGCAAACAGCGCGCGTATCTGTCGGTCCAAATTGCACGAGTAATCGTAAGAAAATATAAACAATACCCCGTTGAAAAGTGTCCAAGCGATTAAATGTATCGCGAATAGACGGTGGACGCGATTTGGCCGATCAGCTCTAACATTCCGCGTAATTTCGTATCTCGAGGGAACTCGTTGTATAAGTGTCAACACGTACTTAAGGAGAAAATTTCATACGACACGAGAGAGAGAGAGAGAGAGAGAGAGAGAGAGAGAGAGAGAGCTGGTGGGTTTCACAAAGGGTTTCACTGGTGGGCTTAGCAAAGCCAACTATTTACGCGTTCTAGACGGACTCCGGCGACGACTTGCATTGCGATTTAAACGGCCATCAATTACAGATCACAGGCTGCGATCAGGATCACTGCGTGGCCACTTAGTACGAATACTCTGTGCACGAGGGCCGATCGATAAATATAACTTCTATTTCCGGCATCGCTACAAAAGCTTCTCCGCGCCTCTCTAAATCGCGAGTCCATTAGGAACCCCGGTCGGTTCTATTTTACGGGCAAGAAGATTAAACTCGATCTACTCGACGAATGGAAACGTCGATGCTTCGAGCGTCGCTGACCGACCGGTATTTTAGAAAAACGTTCCACCGTAGAGCCGATCGGTCGAATTTGAAATCGGTCAAGCCGTAAACTGGTTTCCTCGAGACGTTCTACGTCGGATGTAGAACGTTCGATTTTAAGATGCAAGACAAATTACACGGCTGGCACACCGTGGGGAACTGGCGTGCAATTCCAATGCAATCCGAATGCAATTCAGCCTGGTAATCTACGATCAATTAAACGGCCTCATCGAGGAGCTCCGTTTCTACGATTCTGGTCTTCAACGTCCGGACTCGGTCGGCCGAGCTGCAACAACGCTCGCGTCGTAATTACGCCGTTTTAGAAACGATCGTTGTAACCTCGATTACGTGCGCACACGTTTTGAACGCGACAGCCGAGGTAAGAACACGTTTTATTCAAGGTCCTCGCCGACCTCGCCGCGTCGCGTTCTCGGTCGCGACGTTTCATCAACAGTCGTTGATCAATCTCCCGTAACGATTTTGCTTGCGACACTTGCGACAATGCAATTCTCAACAGCGACAGACGGAGAAAGAAGAAGGACAATGTCTATAGAATCGGAGAAAATCCTCGACACGACACGTCCTCTGTCTCGAGGATCAGTATCGGAAGTCGTCCTACCTTTGAGAAAAGTTCCCGTCGCGGGACGTCGAGTAATCCACAGGCAGAGGCAGAGGGTAGAAATCCACAAACGGAACAGCCCCGTGCTCGAGGATGAGAAGTTGCTTGTCCACCAACAAATCGTACTGCACTACTAATTGTTCGTTCTTCGGACAACGCGCGTGTTATCCGTTCGGAGCACGAGCGGGCTTTTTAAATCGGTGCAACACTGAACCGCGGGCTCTTGCTCGGACGCGAGTGGCAGCGAGCGGGGAAAAGAAAATCGCGCGCGATAAAAGAAGAGAAAGAAAGAGAGAAAGAGAGAAAAAGAGAAATTGGGAGTACGCAGCCACCTACTGGGACCGAGCGTTGCGAACAACGGACTGCGAGACGATGGAAATTGACCGACTGAACCGGCTCACCGTGAGGGACTGACGATGCTGTTCGATTGCTAGCTGCTCGTTCCGCAGCCTCTGCGCTCGGCTCTCGACGCGAGTGTTCGACGCCCGTCGACTACCTCCGGCTAGCTTCGACCTTTCTCGAGTCCTGAGTCGAACGTTCGCCGCGGACAAAGAGGGAGAGGGAAGGAAGCAAGGGGGAAGAAAATAGTGATAGAAGGCTGGCCACAGGCTTGGCAACCTCGACGAACTTTTGCTCGGGTCGAGGCCGTACGAGCGTTTCTGTTTTTCGTGCTGGAATTAAAGAGCCTCCTTCGGGATCGGGCCGATGATAACGCACAATGCATCGGCACGTTCCCTCCTCTTACGCAAGCGATCGAATTCTCTGGTAGCTTCGGAAACTCCCGACCTCCGCGGCGGCGAACGTGATCCGAATCGCTGGACAGAGGCCAGTGTAAATATTTTTCTATTCTTAAAAATAGAAATCTGATATTTGACTATCGATAGACATAGGAAACGATTGCTATGCGAGTGATAGTGGATCGGGTCATTGCCATGGAACTCTGCACTTTGACCTCACGTGTTACTCCAATCTGAGTTGTAGATGCGACTATGTCTTTTTCGTTTTGCTTGTCAGTTCGAACTTATGTAAGGTTCGTGTCAAACGTCTATTGCGTGTTCGTACGAATTGCATTATCTGCAGTGTACGAAGATCACAGGGAAAATTAAAATTGGATTTTGATATTAGCTACGTAGATACATGCACGAACCATCCTTTTTTAAATATTGATCGTCGTGGCAATAGTAATTATTTTTTTCCTCTGCTAAATATTAGAGATTCACGGTCTATTGAGATATATTAGCAAAATATATCACTGCAGACACCGTATAACGTTATAAATAAAGTAATATTCAACAAAATTTCTCTATGCGACTTTCATATATTTCAGCTACAAGAATAAAATTGACGTTTTTATAAAAGGATTGAGAAACGACGCGAATCTCATTGAAACGCCTCGTTTGTATTCAGCTCACGAACTTGTATCAGTTCGAAGGCTGTGAAATTACGTCGGAAGAAACCGGTAGCAAAATAAAGCGGTACTCTATTTCATTAATAATAGAGTAGACGAGCGGCGTGTTCCTTTCAGATTAAATGCCGTCTAGGATCGGAGAAATAGTCAAGGTCAGGACGTTGCCGAGATTGAACGATCAACGTTGGATTTATTACCAATTCCACGCACCGATTTAGGGCGTTCCTCGTGCGGAAAAAGGAAATGAGGAACGAGTACGGCCGCCAAACATCCTGACACGTTACACAGGCTCGAGCTGGTAAGAAAACTTGCCCATCGAAAGTCGATGGGAAATAGAAAGTACATAATGTCATCGTTGTCCTCCAGGTTTGTCGGTGAAACGTCGAAGAAGATACTACGCGTCGCACGTGCAAAGGTCTCGACGAAAATGTTGAAATTTACCGCGTATACTCGCGTTTGATGTGTGGAGTGCGATCGATGTATTTTGAATTTCTAATGCAAATGCTACCAATCTCGTGCAGATTTGTTGCAACATATACCTGGCCTTTACTAGTACGATATTCGTAATTGACAATTAGAAAGTAATTACGAAGCAAGGTTACTTACTTTTCAATCTTTTAAATTTAATTGTAAATAAGAAAAGACTGATGACTGAAAGAATGATTCTACGAAGTAAAAAAGGATGCTGTTTCGAACATCTGGATGAATCAAGCGAACAGAGGGATGCGAACGGAGTAAAACCTAAATATTTTTACTGCCGTGAAACTCGGGCCTGCCTTGTATCATCGTCGTCTTTAATGACTGCGTTTGGTCCGTGCCACATTTAGACGAGAAAAAGTGTAAACCAATACGAAACCACGCAGGTTAATAATACTTTTTTATGAACTACCGTGGAAGTTCATTATTATACATTTTATCGTCGATTGTATCGTTTTGGTTCGCCAACATCATCTAATTGGAACTAGAGAGAGCAAGTGTAGTAACAAAAATTTCGTGATAATCTATAATTAAGTATCCCAGGAACTATAACTCTCGATAACCGCAATTAAGTCTTCTTTCGTATTCATTTTGCTAATTGTAATTAATGCTAACTCGTACTTCGAATATTATCTTTTAAATGAAATTCTTTTTAAAATGCCGCAAGTAACTTGAGTATAACGGGTGACAGCCACGCAAGTCGTATTTAACGTGGTTTCATTAAAATCTGACTCAAATAAACGCGAATTCACATCGGACGCGATATTCTGGCCAATAACGTTTCTGGGGTTCCGCTCGTTTGCAACATCTCGTACGTGACTGTAGAAAATTCATCGCAACCAAAAAATACCAAAAAAGACACACGGCGTATGTAAACGAAATGGTCGATAATCACGGTGCATTTCTGTATAATTAACTAGTATCTTTTGCCGCGTGTTACACGCAAGAACCGGTAACAGATGGTTCAAAGACGTGGTGCGTCGTTGAGGAATCTCTTTGACGTTCTATTAGTCATTACGACGATCGTGGCGATTAAACGGCTTCTGGAAAATTCATTGCAACGAGACGTATTATATGCAACGTCTCTACATCTTCGTCGAGTCTCGTTATTATCCCATTAAACGTAGCAACGTTTTTTATTTGTCTGTTTGGGTCTGTTATGATAATCGTTTAAACCGAGAGAGAGAGAGAGAAAGAGAGAAAAATCATTGCGACGACGACGCGACCTGCCATGTTAATCTTTGATCTGTTAACCTCATTATTATGCGTTTATTGATCAGCTGTCTTTGATAATTAAACCGAGATTCCACTTGCGAAATCGTCGTACCACAATACTGTCGTCTGTCGTCGATAATGCAACGCAAGTATTTTTTACGTGAAAGATATAAATCGTTCGTGATTGTCCGTCACGATGTAAATCGATTTTTCGTCGAACGAAAAATAAACGTTGAAGAAGGAGTAGAAGAAACAGTAACTTAGAAAGCTGCTGGATGCCTGAAAGGTTTCAGGTTAATTTACGAAAAAAGATTCAACGCTCTCCTGCGGCGTGCTCGGTACCTCGGTATCGTGAAAGATCTACGCGGCAATGTAAACCAGACGAGAAGACTGCACCGGGAATGGATGGAATCAGGTTATCTGGTTGTTTGTCTAACAGGTGGATATTTTGTGGCCTGGTAAACACGCGACCCGATAACGGTGGCCCTCCTAAGCGTATCGCAGATAACAGCCGAAAGGGGATCGTTGTTGCACCCGTTGGCTCGCCGCCTGTAATTTCTCTCGCCACACGAAGCAATTAAACATTCCTCCGGTGGCCGAGAGGGACTCTCCGGCGTTTAGGTCGGACAGAGCTCCCGTGTTCCGAACGACGCAATTTTTGTTTTTCCTACCTGCCTTTTCCCGCCTCGTTCTTCTTCACCGCCTGTGTGTTCGGTGTTTCTCGCCCTCCCGACACACGGGTCGGCGAAACCCGCTATTATCTACACGAGCGAAAAAACGACGAGCATTAATATATATTCAGCAGATCCTACCACGCCGCCGCAGATCATTATCCCGGCAACAGAGGACGGATAATCCACCTTCCGCCGCGGTTCATACGAGCCTTTGTTGGCCGTTTATTTGACGCTGCTTTGTATTCGAACGTCTCGCGAGTCACGAAAATCGATACGATCGGGCATCATCAAGTTTCGCCGTTATTCCTGATTCGTGTAAAATGTTCGGTATACAGCGTCGGTCGTAAAGGATTTAACGCCACATTCGAAGATTACGGTTTCGTTCTGCATGAATTTACTCGGCCAAAGGAACCGCAAGCACACCGATGTAATCGACGGAAAGTTTGATCGCTGCCCATTTAAAATTTGGCGGGCTGTTATTTACGATCGGTACTTTCGTCATACTTTCGTTACAACGTTACCGCGTTTTTCATTTCCGTATTCCGTTCCATTCAAACGGAACCGCGCGAACTTGTATTCTAAAAATGAAACAGCCTCGAAACAGACACGAAAGATTCGACGTTTGCTGTGCCGAGCCGAAACGTTAGAAAAAGTAGAAACGTCGCACATCAAAGAGTTTCTTCGCCTTCGTTTCTCCGAGCTTTCGTACGGGTACGAGCATCCCGTTTCCAGGAACATCCATTAAAGGAGTAACGCTCGTACCTTCTTTCGCGCCATAGAATGTAAATGAAAATATACTAGCTGTGTTTTATCCGGTGTTTGGTCGGGCGATCGTATGTCTCTGCAAACAATCAGTAACGTCGAAAATATCGAGAGCCACGCGTTATACGCGCGGAGAGACGTTTGTCGAGAAAGGAAGACAAGGGCGAAAGGCGAGCCAGATGTATATACGCGCGCATAGTCAAGGAGGGGTCGAAATTATCCCGGAGGAGAGGCTACGTCGGTGCCTGTGGGCCCTCTCGCTTTAAATTACACCAGGAAGATGGTGGGCCCTCCCCCCTCGCCCCGACCATCTGGACCCTTTGTTTCACTCGGAGCTCGTCCTTCCCCAAGGCACGCGATACGTACGTCTCAGAATCTCCTCCTTGGCAACTGAAAATAAAGGACACCAGCGTGTTCCTCTCTTTGCTCTGGCCGAGCATCACCGAGGGAGAGAAGAGCTTCTCGGAGGATATAGCGGCCGAGGGACGACCGAAAGAAACGAGAATGTTGAGCGTCGTGTACCTACTAGGATTTTTCAGCCGTTTTTTGCCCACCGTCACACTAATTGCTTTAATTGCAAGGGGAATGTAACCACGCCACGTAGAATGGCGTCTTTACGTTCTGACCTGGCAAAAAGATCATGGCCATCTTGCACGGGACCTTTACATCGTTATCGTACCTTGGATTTCCGAAAATTGGAGGCTTTGCAGCGACAAGAAAGATATATCTCAACCATATTTATCAAAGACAAGAAAAGATATGGGTTTTCATATAGGAAAGTGCAATAGTTTTTCAACTACAAATCGGTTTACTCAAATTACCGAGAAGCAGAGCTGCCTTTTTTTATTCCATTCGATTGATGGTTTCGGACAGATAAATTAAAGTTGCCTACGAGTTGTCACGAGAAGCAATCAGCTAC